TTCTCGCGAGCGGCTTGCCCGCCCCTGCCCGAGGCTTACCGCCGAGCATGGCGTCGGGTGGCAGGGACCCTTTGGTCCATTCGGGTCAGCTGCCCCTGCTGCCCACCCTCAGCCTACCCACTGGGGTCACAGAGCGAGAAAAGGAGAGGACCTTGATGCCATGCAAGCACCGCTCAGCAGCAGCAAAGCCACTATTGTACCACCGATGCTGGGTTAGTCCCAACTTTTAAAACGCAGCAGCCTGCAGGCTGCTATAAAGAAAATTAATTCCATCCCAGCCAAACCCAGTACAAGAACAGAAACACAATTAAGCAAAAGCACGAGATAAATGCTGTGCACATAATGAGCATTTTGGTAAAGAGGTCTCATCCTTTTTGAGGTAAGATTACCAGTGTAAGGATGTATTTATGCAAAATGGTCTAATCAAAACCCCACAGGAAGAACAGCCTTTGCTTCGTACTCAGTTTGCTAACTTTGCCAGCTGTCACAGTTTTGAACTACAGCAGAACTGATGGTGGCTACTTGAGTCACACAAGCCTTTAGGGACTTTGGTCACATTAGAAATGCTTTCTGAAGCATTCCGTGCCTGTTCCACAACTTTGTGTGCAACGGGGCAGCGTACAATTACCAGAATGCGGAAGTATAATCCTGTCTATGCCGTTAAAGTTCATTTTTGAGGACAGAAACAGAACTAACTTCTGAAAGGGAACTAGAAGCCCTAGCCAAAGGATTCTGAATTTTAGTAAGTACTAGTTGCTTCTTCAGGTGAGACCAGCCAGCCTTGAACTTGCAGCCCAGGAACTAGAGACCTAGATTTTACAGCATTCTTTGCAAGCTAGGGTATGAAATAGTATCTTCAAGCAACATTTCTTCTCCAAGGATTATTTCTGTTGTTTGTCCAGTGACATATGTATCTATATATACACATGCATGTATAGTTTTGCTTTCATTCCTTAGTGCAAAGGCTCCTACCCAAAAGTGCTCTAAACCACTAATAGAAAGAATATACACTCCTTTGAACATTCTTCTGGCATTCTTTGCATGTAGAAGGCTAGCAGAAGAACATCTATCACTCCTCTGTGGTAAGCTGAAGTGACCAAAATTAATGACAGTTTAGTTAACTAATTTCATTAGAAACAAGTTTGACCTACCTCCATACAGTTTTGCTGCTCCCCCTTCCCATCCAAAAAAAAAGAAACAAACCAAAACCCAACCAAAACCCCCCACTAAACAACCCCCCCTTTTTTCCCCTGAAAAAGCTCAGTCAAAAAAGTCTTGCCTTTCTGTATCTGCTTTCATGGAAATTCTACGGCATTGGCAATTACTGCTGTGATCTGAAACAGCAACCTGGCAAGAATTTTTCAAAGTGGATTGTGTGTTACTTGGCATACAGAGGCAGGAAAGGCTACTTGTTAGGGGCTACAGCAGAGGAGACAGACAGAAACATTAATTTACCTGCAACTGAAGTCTGGTAGCTTAGAAGTTCACTGTTAAAGGGAAACAATGTATAAACTGACACAGCATAGTTTTTTTTAAAAGTGTTTTATATAGTGACACAAACAGAGCAAGAATCTTACTGGAACAAGAGCCCCCTATACAAGAGCACACTGCTAGAAGAGTTCTCTGCTATGCTTTGTCGCATCCCTGAAGTTCTAACAGGTAGTCTTACGCTCAGTGCATGGTTATTACTGACTTCATCTTGGAAATCACTACCTGCCAAAATAAGCAACTTAAACTTACTGATGTTCTAACAGACCAGCGTAAAATGATCATTCCAAACACAAAAAAAATGTACACGCATCTTGTGCTGTCAAAGACAGAAGAGTATCTATCATCTTATGTCATACACATGACAGAAAAAGGCAAGCTGCACTCCAGGAACTGGTATTAGTGAATCACGGGAAAAAAATAAAACACTACAGAAAAACTTACTATCTGCATAATTCAAGTTATACATAGTGAATTGCAAATTTGTGAAAATAAAATCATCTTTAATAGTCACAGGTTGAAAGTTAAATGATGACAGTACATGAGTAGTTTATAGTCACTGTCAAAGCTAAAAAATGCAAGTGTGTGAAGAGAAACCTTCATAAAATAAGCAGTTTCCATATTGAGAGGCACAATCATTGGAAGATTTGGCAAAGCAAAACACAAACTGGAATGTTAATTGTGGTCATCCATGGCTTCTGTCCTTTCGATTCAGATGCTCATAACACACTGTATGAACTGAAAAAAGAATAACCACTTATTAGATGTATGGTAAAGAACAAGTTTTCACTTTTTCTCTTAAAATTCTCATTGTCACTACCTTTTTCTGTAAACAAATTCAGTCCATGAACAACAAAGCTTTGAAACTAAATATGAATATTAGCTAATAATTAAAACAAAGCATCTCCTGAATAATAACAAAAACAACCTGGGAATACTTGAATCTAGTGTTCTCCTTTTCCTGCACAGATGCAGCCAGGAAGCCGAGACCTACAAGCCTGACTGAGTGTGATTTTTGTCTGTCCCCATCATGCTTCCCCCAACCCTTCCTGGAAAAACACCTGCCAAGCCTTAAAAAAGAAGAAGAAAAAAAAAAAAAAAAAAGTCATAGAAAGTAAGTGATGCTAGCAAGCAATGTAACCTCTTAGATCTTCTTGAATCACACTGGTAAGAAGTCCAGACAAAAATGCACAGCAACATTTTACAGAACTCTTATAAAATACGTGAAAACTTTTTGAGACAATACTCAACAAAACCCAGAACCACCCCAGGTAACACCATAAGCGTAGGGAAGACAGGTGCAAACTCAAATCATTACTGTTTGTCTTCAGGTTTTTTCTTTAATTTTAACCTGTAACTTTTAACTGATTCCTTAAAGTTCACTTACATCATCATACTGGAAGTTCACAAAACCCTGCTGAGTTGTATCCCTTCTTCTAAAACATTCTGCAAAAATGCATTAAGAAAAAAACAGAAAGCTGATAAGAAGAATTAGTTATTTTTTTTTTAAAAAACCTTTACTTTCATTAAATTCCCCAAGACACATGAATGAAAACTCATGAAGAACACTTCAATTCATTCCAAGACTTAATTTCCCATTCTTTTCATGTTTATCATAGACAACCCTTTATATTCAGTTTCCCAATTTTGATAACTATAGCTATTCTAGTCTCCGGAATAAACCCTGCATTAGTTTTAAGTCCTTTTTTTCAGTGGGGATTTAAAAAAATCATAATCTATAGTTGTTCTAGTTCTGCCTGTAAACTCTATTGAAAGAAACCTATTTTGTGCTACATAAAGCTGAACTTGAGATAACTGAGTAATCATATTTTATTAAATAAAAATATATGATGGGGATGATAGTAACAAGGCTATAATCCAGCATACCAGTGAGAGCTCTGAGTTTCACACAGCAGGCAATGTAATCATCAAATGTAATCTTTCCACGTGTGCTGTATCGCCTTGTGATTGCAGTCACTGCCTGTGGGCTCAGTCTAAATCCTATTTGAAAATAAAAAGTCTATACTGAGAAAATGGGTAAGTTAACAGAATCCAACACATTTTTAATTGGAAAGATGACGTGTCAGTTACTGCAGGATAGTAACTGGTATTGGGAAATGCTGTCAGTCAGTGTCAAAAGCGAGAACATTTCACAACTTACCCATATTCATCAAGGCTTTCTCCAGTTCTTGACGATCCACTGTACCACTTCTATCATTGTCAAAAGTTAGGAAGTGTTGCTTCCAGCCATTGACCACAGCCCAGAGTTCTTTAAACTCATTAAATCCCAGTGTGCCAGACATATCCCTCTGATTCCAAAGCTAAGAAAAACGTTTCTTAATGTGAAAAATAAAAAAAAGCCTTCTCTTCAGTGGAAATTTGTATTTTTACCATCTGTAGTTGAAAACTCTTTCTTGAAGGTCAATACTAACAATACGTTACTATTATTAATTTTTCTGGTAGAAAACTAACTACAGCACCCCACAGCAAAGAGATAATACTACCAACCAAAACAAAACGTCAGAGAACTTGCTCTTCCCACTTCTTCTCAGTGAAACCTGACAAAACTATTTGCCCTTTGTGAATTTAACGTTGTTCACACACTTATCTGCCGCATTGTAATTTTACCAATAAAATACATATCCAAAACAAAAAGAGATGCCAAATGAACAGTTACTTTAAGTTAGAATAATATGAGTTCTCTCACATTCTAGGCAGTTTGTTCAAGGTGAGCCAACAGTTTCATTTCTGCTTTTTTCTTTTTAAACAGCAAAACATTTGAACATGACAATTTTGACTAAAAAACTCCAAGGATTCCAACCTTGCACAGTATATCCAAGTCTTCCATAGGCCCCTACTGCTGAATACCATATACCATCTCATTAAATACTTGAACTTGATTCATTCAAGGAACGGGATTTGGGGGGACTTAGATTGTATTCAGGCTGTGTAGTACAAATGCTTATTAATTCATTAGGAAGGACATCTACAATGTTGCCCCATTGCTTACATAATGCAAAAATGTTTACATCCCGTAGTAAAGGATACATCCAGCATTGAGATCATGAGTCTGCAAGTCTCTAAGTTGAAAGCTGTTTAAATTAGAAAAAGGAAAAATAAGTTATATTAAAAGAATGATTTTCAGTTTTGTCTAAACCTAACATTTTAAATTGGTTTTTATTATATACCGATAATATATTATAATGTATAAAATATTATATAATTGCTTCCACTGTATATAGCCATACCATATTTTGATCCAAGTAAGAGCTCTTAATCATTACTTGTTAGAAAAACTGACAGCAGACAATCTGGAGGCAATTTGAGTCATATTTAAAATTAATTTGCTCTTATCTCAATCCATAAAGGTTCTGGGTTTCAGTCAAAGTGCTCATTTATGCTTCACCATAAACACCACTTGAGGAAGCCAGTTGTACTCACAGAAGCTCAATTTGTTAAACTGAACGCTCTGGACAAAGGAGTCCTGCTGCAGAATTTTTTGGTCAATATCAAAGCTCCATTTAAAAACAAAGCAAATCAGCTTTTTAAGAATTGGCTGTTCATTACAGAACAAAACACTTCTCCAACTCCACAGCTCAGTAGTGTGGGGCACTAAGGAGGCTGAGAAGGGAAGTCTTATATGCACAGAACTGAATCCAGAGAATTTACGTTTCAAAGAAGTCCATATGGAAAGAAAGCCCTTCCACCATGCAAATAAAAAACCCCAAACCTCTGCAGAAGGCACAACTACAAGCGTTTTCTAGTAGACGGTATAAGAATTAGTATGCTTTAGGGTTGGGGGTTTTTTGGTTTATTTAAACCATTAACTTACGTTTATACGCTCCTGCAATCCCTGACTGGGTGAGACATCTCTGTAGCTCATCAGCATCTATTTGTCCATCCTTTCGATAACAGAAGATGTATCAGCTATTGTTTTAATTCCCTCTCCCAGGATGGTTACTCCCAGTACCCACTCCCTTTTCAGTGGCATTAAATTAATTACCCCTTCAAAAAACAACTGATTACCTGTCTGCTATATGACAGAAACTGACTTTTAGAACCCACATCTGTAATGATGTTTCTTTATTTGATATTTTTGCAATACGCATTAGCTTTCCCCTCTAGTCATGTATTATAAAATGCACAGGATTGGCAGGTTTGCTCTAAACTTAACTTTAAAAAAACCCCAACAAACAAGCCCACATCAACTCTTGGTAGCATATACTTGAGAGCCAGCTGCACAGAAACCAAGGAGCAAAATTTTGAACAGAAAGACAGCTTTCCTTAAAGTACTAATTTTAACTTAATGGGTATTATAGTCACTTCAGATTATACTTTTATGATGTCACTGCTACAGTAGGAAACCTAGACCCCAGATCATACATACCCTCTTCTCAAGAGAGCCTTACTTACAAATCTAAACCCCCATGTTTTTTGGGAATAGTAAGTTGTTAGCAGAACAAACAAAAGCAGAAAGCAAAGAACTTTGAAAGAAAAACAAAACAAACCCGGAAAAGATACCTATCTGCATGGTTTGGAAAATGACTCACTTCCAGTGCATCCTGCTCAGGGCCAAATAGAGAAAACAACTGCCAATTCATGGAAAGCAATGAGCTGTCAAAAGCAGAGCTGGCATGCTAGGTCACATTCCTCACACACCCAACATGAAGCTCGGTTCACAGAGAGTTTGAATATAATTTAACCTCATTCGAGGATGGAATATTAGTATCTGTAGATAAAAAAAATGATGTGACTTTCGTAAAGCATTAAATACAGAAAAGAGTGTTGCTTTATATCTGAAACAAATTTATTTGCCTCAGCATTTTCCCAACGTTTTTAAACCCAGTAAGCAATTTTTTTCTTCTTTTTTTAAGAACAGAGATATGCTACTAAATGGCATGGTAGAAATAGCACAGCCAGGTAGCTTTCCAAAATGAAGTGTCATTTATAGGGCAAATAGTAGTTAGTATGTTAAATGATATTTGACAAGGTCTGAAAAAAAGAGCAACAACGTTTTGATTCTATGTAAAATTAATGGCAGCTAAACCCAAAATTGCTTCCAATCTACTCCATCCGTCTAACTATACAGATGTATACATTCACAGGAAAATTTAAAAAAAAAAAAAAAAGAAAAAAAAGAAAAAACATTTGAAATAGCAATGCATATTAAGCAGCAAATCTCTTCAGAGCCCTTGTGCATTCTGAAACAAAGGCAGGATCTGCATGACTTTAAAATAGGCAGGGAGACAGAAAAGCATGATTTGTAATCACGATTAACATTACCAAAAAGATGCTTGGTTTTGTTTTTTTTTTAAGTAGAACTTAAGCAGTTAAACTAGACAAGGCATAGGGAGTTTGCGAACAGACTAAAAAAAAAATAGAAAACTATTACTTCCTACAGACTCAATTAATTTAATAAAGATTTGAAACAATACTTTTGACTTTCTTCTGTAAACTAATTCTTCAAATCTAAGGCAAGGTCTCTGCTGTAAACTATTTCAAAGAAAGCTCAGAGATAACTTCATATGTTTTATAGGCATAAAAACAACGTAAGGAGCAGCGAACCATAGCCAAAAACTTTACTAATGCTACAATAAGTACTTATGGAAGCCTGTGACATATGGCTTTTTACAGACTTGCATGGATGGCTGTAAAACCAACTGATAATTTATCTGCCACTGGTCTCTGAAACTGACTCTTCCTGTTCCAAGGATAACACTTCCAAAGCTACCCAGTTTATCATGATAACAAATGATTTCTACAAATAAAAAGTAGTAGTACTAACTTAAGTACTTTTAAGCGCTAACTTGATGATATCCATCAGCTCACTGTTTCCCCAGCTTTCAGTAACCATGCCTCGCTCGAGAAGCCTGGGGATGGTCTACGCTTTGCTGAGGTCCAGCTCCTGCCACCTCTTCTCCACCGGGCTGCGTCCTGTTTGCTGTTACCTCCCTTTCTCTTTACACTAGGAGCTTACTCATTTTCCCAGCGTCAGTTACTGTGCTTATGTCTACCTGTGGAAAACAGATCCAGGAGCAGAGTTTTAAATTTGCACACACCTTGGAAGTGTGCAACAAATAGCTATACATATGGCCCACAAAGACAGAACTTCAGCTCAATAAACCTAACTTCTTTGCTCCTAAATGTTGCTTCTATTGTTGTTTCTATTAACATCCATAATCATATAAAAACAATATATGCCACAAAATTACAGGAGAAAAATTTTAAATGCAGTGCAGAATGACAGGGAGTAAAAAAGAAAGGCCTAAATGCAAGCTGTGAATGCCTTTTCCTCTAAAATAATCACTCTATCCTACCAGCAAACCCAGATATTGGCACAACTCAAGACTGCTTTTCCATTTGTGAGGCTATTAAGAAGATCATGTAATGATCTTTCTTATTATCATTTCCTGCTCTTAGCCAGGCCATCTCCACAGCCCATGCTTCCCCTTGTTTCTGGCTTCTTTCTCCTGACACTGACAGCATTCCCAACCCAGAGCTGAGACACAATTCAGTTACAACATTTCATGTTAAATACATAGTCCCCGTATGTACCCACAAAGGAAACATAGCACATACATGTGTGTATATATACGTATGCATTTACACACACATACACACACTATATAGAAACTAACAGTATTATTCAAACTGTACAGTTAGTGTGTATATAGCTATACATATATATCAGATAGGCTAAGTAAAACCATTCTGTTTTTTTTTTTTTAAACTTGAAGTTTTCCTCACTGCAAATATTTGCCCAGAAAACAAAAAAGCCAAAAAAGAAATAAATAACATTCTATAAGTTTACCTGCCCTGCTACTGCAGCAAAATATCCATACAAAGGATCCTGAGCTTGTCCAGGGAATGCTGGTCCTCCTGGAGCTCCTCCATACTTTAGAAATCAAGAAGAAAATTAATTTTAAATAAATGATTCAGTTAACTGTTAAGAAACTGCAGCGTTCGTACTTAAGAATCAACTTGTGTTTTTACATACACGCCATGCAAAAAAGTCAACCCAACCAAACCAGAAATTCCTTAACACCCACTCCACCCCGCCCAAAGGACATGATCTTAGTATCAATACACTTGTAATTTAAGCAGATCAGTGTAAAACCTTGTACAGGAGCAATCACTGCTTTAGATGCAGTATGGCGCACCTCACTGAGGCTCAATTTTAGCCTACCACTAGCAGAAAACGTGGTACTGAAGATAGGACTACTAAGGCACTGCAGATTTTTCTTCCCACTTCAAAACACTTGAGCAAGGCAGATCTCTAGGGAAAGTACTTGGAAGAATATGCATTAAACATGGAGATTTTTAAATAAAATCGATTTAAACACAGAATGACAGAGGTTAGTCCTGTCTGACTGAGTTGAACCACTAATGTGAGTAACGGAGTCTACAACCACCTTTTGCCGAGACAAGAATATGCCTTTTTGGAGACGGGCAGAGTTTGATGGCGCGTACTCTGCTGTTCGAAGCTGCTCAGCTATCTGTCAGCGCCATGGTGCGACGCCGGCTTTACACCAGGTGCCAGACCCAGGCCTCCCTCAGGGGTTGGCCCAGGGAGCCGGCTCGGGGAGCGGCACCCGCAGAAG